CTAAGATGCATGTGACCCCATTTAAAAACAAAACAAAACACTGTACACTTCATAGCCCGTATTTTCTGTTTGATTGTTCCCTTAGGCTTCTGTTTTTCTTTCCTGCAGAATGCTATTTGTACTGATTTCAGTCCTTGATTGATGATAGCTCCCCCTGCCTTTAACCCTTGCTCCAAGACAGGGATTTACTATACAGCCCTGGCTGTCCAGGAACTTGTTCTGTAGACGAGACTGGCCTCAGACTCATAGAGATCCACATGCCTCTGCCTCCCGAGGGCTGGGATTAAAAGTGTGTGCAATCTTACTTGGCTGTGATAAGAGCTCTTTTTAATTTCTCACCCCAGTTTTGTATATAACTGAGGGTGTGAGGATGAAGTTCTTATATTAAAACAGAGTTCTGGTTTCTGAGCCATGAAACCAGAGGACCTGAATAACCAGGTGGGGCCCCTGAGTCCCTTGCATTCCCATGGACTGTCCTTCCCAAAGTGAACCAGTGTTAGCATTCCTGTGCCCATTGATGGAATTAGAACTGTGCATCTGTCTTTGAGAAAAGCTTACAGTTACAGCATTTCAAGTCTGAATATATTGGATCCCTTTAAGAGATGGGATAATAACTTGTTATTATGTAATTTTAATGAGATTATTGTTTAAAATAGCAGATTGCAGAACAGAAAACAGGTGCAATCGTAGGAAATGAGTCTGAAAAATAACATGATTTGGCTTACTAGGGGCCTGGATGCCTTCTGAATGAGTTCATATCTCATCCTACAGGACACGCTCTTTTTGGAAATACATTTACAGAGCAAGTGTGTCAGAGGGTGGCCACTGGCCTGTGGTAAGCTCAGTTAAATGAAATGTAGGCGTTTAATACAGGCATTCTCCATGTTAATTAATATGCATGTGTGATCCTAGCCACCACCTCCATCTCAGAACAGCAGTTTGGATACTGTGTTTTACTAAACGATAAATATAATATGATCATAGGCATACAGCAAATACAAAAGGTGTTCCTGTGGAACACTTGAATTTTAGATCACTAAATCTAATATTAAGTGCAACTCAAGACCCCAGATACATGGTGGCCTCTCATCACTTGTATCTGGGCCCCTGCAAGACTCTGAACAAATGGAAGAGATGACATCCCTGGGTTAGTCGTCAATTTCTTCATTCATAAAACAGGAAGTAGACATGTTTTTTTTTTTTTTTTGAAGATTGATGAGTTGTAGAAAAGTGATCAGAGTGTTCTGTGACCAAGGACTTTTTCTTCAAGTTAAATTGAGATATTATAAGTGAAAAAAAGAAAACACAGGGCTGGTGAGAGGACTCAGGGAGTAGAGATGCTTGCCACCAACCATGAAGGTCTTGGAGGAATGAACCAACTCTTGGCAAGTTGTTTTCTGGCTTCATCATATCCACACACATATACACAAAGACATAGATACACAAACACAAATAAACACACATAAAAAATTTAAAAAGGAAACAGGGGAGAGAGGTGTAGTCTTTTCTTAACCTGTTTAATACCTTTGTACAGGGCCAATCATAGTTAGCCTTGAAGACTCTATTACCTGCTTAGCATGGATCCTGGGACCCAGAAAGTGGGCATGTAGGGAACTATTGTTAGAAACTCAGGTTGGAGCCAGACCATCTGGGGTTGAATCTCAGCTCTGCCTTTAACTAACTGTGTGATTCTTACTGCCTGTGTAGACTCTGATGACTTAGCACAGTTTTTTTTTTTTCTGCCTTAGATGTTATCTGCAAAATGGGAACATAAGTATATTTATCTGAGAGAGCTGTGGAAAAAATTACAAACAAAATAATAAATGTTGGCCACTATAGTAAGCTGCTATTATTATTTCCTATTTTTCTATGTTCATGGAAATGGAAGCTTGGCTTAATTTGTTCTTCATAGTCTAGCTGCAGAGTCAGTAGCCACTCCAATTTCCTTCTCATTCCCGAACCAGGTGTTCATAGCCAAGTTTTTTTAAAAAAGAGATTCATTTTTATGCTTTTTTATGTTTTAATTCTCTGTCTGTCCATCTATCTATCTATCTATCTATCTATCTATCTATCTATCTATCTATCTATCTGTGTGTGTGTGTGTGTGTGTGATCTGTGCACATGTGAGTGTAGTTTTCCTCTGAGTCCTGAAGAGGCACTTAAGAGCTGCTCAACATGGGTACTAGGAACCCATCTCATGTCCTCTGCAGGGATAGCAAACACTAAGCCACCCCTCCAGCCTCTCACACCTCATTTTTAAGACATTTACTCCCATATCAAGCACTACTAGAATTCCATTTTTTGTTCTGGGAGCCTATGTATTTGAAAGAACCACCAGTGTTCATTAGTTCATGGCAAATAGTATGTAAGTACATTCACGCTCTTGACTTACATTTTGATCATTTCCTGTCTGAATTATCCTCAGTTTTCTCAACTCAGATGAAGGCCAGTCAAACACACAGGAATCTTTGGTGTCTAGAACCAGGATGGAGGAGAAGGGAAAGCTACAAATGGAAATTAGTGATGGATAGTATGGGGATGTGAGGTCAGAGGGAAGGATTATATCCATATGACAGCCAGTGTTGTGTGCTGCTAGTCTGTAGTTACCACAGCACACTGGCCAAATTTCATCACTTTGCCAATTAGCAAACACAATAAAACAACATAACAAAAACCCTCTGAAGCCTAATAATCCAGAGAAGCTAACTAGTCACATGGCTGCCAGGAAAATGTTACCTTGGATTCATCTTTTGTTTATGTTAATACATTTGTCTGCTTACACAAAGTTCCTCACGGAAGCCAGTGAGGCTCCATTAGTTCTACCTCATAACTTTCCTGAACTTCCCCCTCCATGTCAGACAGCAGGACTCTGTGTTGATGCCAGCAAGGAACTAGAAAAAAAAAATACCATGTTGTCTATTAGCAGTGGAGAAGGTTTTCAGATCACTTTGGCAGGTCAGTGAAATCTATACACGAGTGAAGGTAAAGGCTGATTGACACACACTGTCCCCATTTATACTCATGTATGGCTTGTGTTTCTCTCTGAGGACAGCCATAAAGATGGGTAAGCTTTTGAATGATCAAGGTATTTACATGAGCTATCAATGGTTTTTATCATCAAGAGGCAACAATTGAATATAAGGGTGCTTTTCACAAGGATCCCCTAAGAATGGTCACCTAGACAATAGCTTTGCTGACTATACACTATAAAACATCTGGATGCATAGAATTCCTGCACTTTGCAGACAAAGAGCACAAGATTGCTCTTATTAGTGTTCACAGCTCTGTCAAGGCAGTATGAAAATTTCTCTCCCAACAACAATTCCAAGGCCTTTTAATACAAAGTGGGGTGTATGTTTCTTTTATGAGCTTTCTCAGATACATTAGCTGGTAAGCCATCCTTTCACAGCCTAATGAACTGAGTTCCATATAATGACACCTGAGTAGCATGTGACAACTAGAGAGGAGTGATGGATGTCTAGCCAGATGACAGGAGTGACAACGGACCTAAGAGGCAGGAAACCACGTACATCTCTAGATCGGAGTCACCAGGAGTCCCAGGAAGCCACCTGAACCTGCAGCTTAATGCCTTAATTTGAAAAGTGGAAGGCACACTCCCTTAAATTTTAATTTCCGACTCACCCTTATGTCTATTGTCATTGCTCCCCTTATAAAATGTGCATTTAAAAAGTGCAAGTCACATGTACTGCTTCTACAACAAAGGTGAGAATATTCGAGTTTGGAGCGAAGAGCCTCGGGGATTTCCCAATACTGCTTTAAGATGATCTTTGAATTTTCTTCAAAAGTAGCTTCATTCTGTTAAGTTTTAGCAAAATCACTGAAGTGGGTAAACACCAAATAAATTTGATCCATTGTGATTTTTGTTAATTTTTTGTAGTGGAAAAACATAAAATGAAGATTGGATTTTAATTCAATCTCCATCATTATATTGGTCCAGAAAGTACAATGACTATTTGATTTTCTGCTTATTAAAAGGTGATCTGGAACCATATTCCTTGGCCAGCTTATTTTTGTTTCTCCCGAGTCCAGTCTCTAGTTATGCCATAAATTGTTCCTTGGGATCCATGACACAGAATTAAACAGACCTATGGCTCCATATAAATAGGAACGGCAATCTTACAGCGCCTAGCCTGACCACTAATCTATAAAGTACCAAAAATTCAACCTGTACATTTCAGTTTTTGTCTAGATCATAGATGTAATAAATCTACTGTGGTCACCTTCAAGAGTATAAATGCCCAGACATGCAACAATAAATCCCAGTTATGTGCCTAAGTACATGGCACTTTTCAGATCTCTCCTCACAGTCAAAGGAAAACTGATATAATTAGACTCTCAGATATCTCAGACAAGCATTTCTTTGGTCAATTTTGGCACTTTCTCTGTAGGGTATTTATACTTCTAATACCTTTGGGGAAAATGCCATCAGAAGACTTATAATATCTAATGTGCTCTGCGTGCTAACAGTTTTTATTCTTTTTCTTTCATCTGTGCATGGATGCTGATTCTTGGACATGCTAGCTGCTGACTCAAACACTGAGCCACACCCTCTGCTAACAGTGCCTTAAAAAACTTTTGGAGCAACACTGAAGACAGTATTATTTACGGTGTCCATCCCGAAGGACATTTGCATGTGATTTGGAGACTCTGGGTAATACTTGTGTCCCTCTGCACTGTACCCATTTCTCTGAAGGCTTGAAGTACAAAGAAGCAAAGCCTGGAAACAAGACACCCCCACCGCAAGCCTCAACAATACACACACCCACAGCTGAACAGGTGTCCTTGTTACTGTCACACACATCTAAGGAATCGCCTGAGGGCCAACGAAATTTATCTATATAAAAATACTGCTTCTCAAAGGTATATTTAACAGCAGAATATTAAAAAAATCCGAAGGTAATACTGACATTTGACATACATGTATTATAATATTTTCCTCACCCGGAGCAATAAAAGTACATTTGTTATTGCTATTGCTATTGCTTCCTCAGATCCTTTTATTGACATTTCAGCAGGCACATCCTGTGGCGTATGCAGTAAGCCCCAGGTTCTGTGCTTACTCAACTATCCAGAGGACCAGGTCCAAATGCCCAAGGACCATCTCGTACCTGGATTTGAAAACAATGAAACAGGATGCTGATTTGGGTGCCCACATCAGCCCCAATGGACCGATGACGGGCGGGAGGGGGGGGCACACCTCAGAAGCCTCTGCCCCGAGTGATGCAATTATTCCCAGCTCCCTCTTTTCTCTGCTATGATGCACCAGTTGCCATGGTCATTGCCAGCACTCAGAACCTGCAGCTCGGACACACTCTCCTGCAGCAGTCCAGACAGCTCACCTTCCCGGAATACGTGGTAGTAGCGCATGAAGGCCCTGAAATCTGGAGCATCCCGCTGTTCCTTCGCGTAGCTTGGATCTCCTGGTTTGGAATCTGTAGAATTGAATGCAGAAACTCTCCTTAACATTTTTCTGGCAGAAGGATCACTGGTATGGCCTGCATACACACTGCCTCTGGCATCAGTGGTGTCCAGAAAATCGCTGCCCTCCCTCCTACCCTCTCCTCCCTCCAGTCCACTGAAATTCTCTGAAGTGCCTGGTGCTCCCAGGCAGCCCACGTATCTTTGAGAAGATGCGTCTACGAACACCTCATCGAAGTTTGGTTCTTTCCCTGAAAATGGCTCCTGGGGATGGAAGTCTAAGCTAGCATGTCTGGAAGGCTGACGGGACACAGTGCTGTTGGCCCAACCCTCTGTGATTTTCATGGGTCTGGCTCTTTCAATTTGCTTCCTCAGGGTAGATTCATCCAAAGACCTGGAGAAAAACCAGGAGCGAAAAGATTTTCCAAAATTGTTATACAATCCGTTCTCTTCCTCGTCTTCCTTTGAAATATCTTCACAGCAGGTTCTTGCCACTGCCGGCCCATAGTCCATGCTGTGGGACCGCTTGGAATCGCATCTGCCCTTAAAACACACTGCACAGCCGCATGCAGAGCCAGGACTCTGGTAGCCTTGGCTCATGGGACGCTCCCAGGACTGGTGGGATTCCGAAGGCAACCCGGAACAGAGTGCGCGGTTCCAGGGCACAAGCACATCCTGCTTCTCGAAGTGTCGGTTCTTCTGTTCCATTGCCCAAACGTAAATCATCAGTTGGCCTCCAGGAGCTAAGACCCTGGCCATTTCCTTTATCGCTCTAATTCTTCTTTGTTTCGTGGAAAAATGATGGATGACTGAAAAAGAAAAACAGAACAAAACAAAACTTAGATCTCACTGAGCATACTTTATATGCATAAACGCACACATAGTGAAACATTTCCACAGAGAAATGATGCAGTTCTGACCTAGAGTGAGCCTTGTCTTGGTAAACTGGAGAAACATGGGTCTGTGTACTGGCTGGTTTTGTGCATCAACTTCACACAAGCTAGAGTCATCAGAGAGGAAGGAGCCTCAGCTGAGGAACTGCCTAGATGAGATCCAGCTGTAAGGCATTTTCTCAATTAGTGATCAATGGGGGAGGGCCCAGCCCGTGGTGAGTGGTGCCATCGCTGGGCCGCTGGTCCCGGGTTTTATAAGAAAGTGGGCTGAGCAAGCCAGGGGAAGCAAACATTCCTCTACAGCCTCTGCATCAGCTCCTGCTTCTTGGGTCCTGCTTTACTTGAGTTCCTGTCCTGACTTCCTTCAGTGTAAGCCCAAATAAACACTTTCCTCCCCAACTTGCTCTTGGGTCATGGTGTTTCATCACAGCAATGGAAACCCTAACTAAGGCATTCTGGCTTTCAGAGAGACACTGTTTTTGGCTTGGGCAAATTCTATAGAATTGAATAGTTTCTTCAATTCCAGTAAGAAACTTAAAGATATGTGCAAGCTCTCTTCAGCTCCAAAACCCATGGGATTTGATAATTGGACAAATAAGGATAACCAATGTGAGCTACTGAATTATGGAAGGGACATTAAATGAGGCAGTATTCTCTGGTGGAGTCTATAATTCACCGTTTTACTGAATAACTGGTATTTCCATAAAAACAAAGGATGAGCAGCAATAAATCATTGGTATTAGTAATATTAATAAAGCAAATATGATATAGCAAAGGGTTAACTTTTTTTGATACAGGGTTTCTCTGTATTGCTTTGGAGCTTGTCCTGGAACCCATTCTGTAGACCAGGCTGGTCTCAAACTCACAGAGCTCTGCCTGTCTCTGCCTCCCAAGTTCTGAGATTAAAGGCGTGTGCCACCAACGCCCTGCTAAATGTTTTTCTTTAGTTAGATAATGCAAAGAGAAGCCAGGTAAACACAAATTCAAACGCTTACTTAGCATTTCTTAAAGATAATAGCAATTGTGTGGGCTTTATAAAACTGATTTGTAAGTTATTGTTTTACTTTTAATCACTGCAAAGTCAAGCATTTTCTAAGTAGAATCCATCTTTCACTTACATGTATGTGTGTTATTGTGGGTGCATATTATTATTAGCAATAGCTATTGTGCTGTGCTAGGTAAGTAAGGAACCTGGGAGACAGCATGAAAGGCAGACACTCTACCACTGACCTGCACCCACAGTTTTATTAGGCATATTTTCACCAGAAAATGTAGGGAAGTGTTAGTCTATGAGATCCTGGAGGGGTTTAAAACAAGCACTGTGTGAAGAGGAAACACTCTCTTGTCTTTGAAACAGGACCTGTTACATTGATCAGGGAGGAGACTGGCTGCAAGCAAAGCCGAGGGACTCCCTCTTCTGATGTGGCCAGCACTAGCAGAGTGTGGCTGAAACTGCCCTCTTTGTGCTAGCACCATTTAGCTGTTAGCAATGATTTTAAACTAGAGATATCTGAGGCTTGCCTGTCACAGAGATGCAGTGAGTATCTAAAGAGAAAGTCTGATATATATAATGTATGTATGTATACACACACACACACACACACACACATTCAGAGAGATCACTCAGCAATACAATTTATATTATTTTCTATCTTTTTTATTTTTATTATTTTGTGAGTGTGTGCTTGGGTGATTTGCTTGTGAGTATGTATGTACACCATGTTTGTGCAGTGGCCAGGAGGGGGCATTGGATCCTTTGGAACTGGAGTAAGCAACAGTTGTAAGCTGCTATTCACAGTTATGGAGACAGGACACAGCTCCTGGTGAACTGACTTTATAAAGCCCAAAGAGGGGTCCAGGAAACATTAAAACAGAACCGTTTACATACAATAAATCTCTCTTTGGAATAGACTAATAGGTCTTCAATTTTCCAGGATTCTACCCAGTTTCAAAGGGTGTTTGTTTGTATTATGTATGAAACAAAGTCTTCATTCATTTATTGATAAATACAGAAGAATTCAATTTTAATTATAATTGTATGCAGAAAAATGACTCTTAATGTTTTAAATTTATATTTAACAGGGAGTGGATAACAGCTTTTAAAACAAGTATTTATTTTTACTTATGCATATGTACCATGTGTATGCATTGCCTATGGAGGCTAAAATGGTGTTGGATCCTCTGGTACTGGAGTATGCAGTTGTGCCTTCCCAACCTGGGTTATGGGAACCAAACCTGGGTCTTCTGTAAGAGTACCAAGTGTTCTTAGCAGCTGAGCCATCTCTACAGCTCTAAGCCAAATGGTTTGGAGGAAAAAGGTGTTATATGCACACATGTGCATACATGTGCTATATACACACCCATACATACATGTGATATATACACAGGAATACATATTCTGTTAGAAAACACTGTGGTGTCATTATAGTGAAATCTGTCAGAAATGTCATTGCTGAGAAACTTTGCTGACAATTTAAAAATAATTAAAAGAATATTTTTGTTTGTTAATCATAACCACAGCTTACATGCAAAAATAATATTGCATATATGCATTCCATATATATATATATATATATATATATATATATATATATATAGCAATTTCCCTGTGGGGAGCCTACAAAAATAACTTGAATCCAACTTTTGGATTACAGAAGCAAATGTTGACAGCAGATTTCCTTTAACACCCTGTCACATCTTCTATGACTTACTGTTCTTTAACTTTGCAAGTGCGTAGGTCTTGCTAAGCACTCAGAATTTAGGGATTTAGCAGCAAGCAGGTTTTAAAACATTAGTGTCACTGACATTTGGAGCTAAATCATTCTTGTTGTGGGAGAGGTATCCACTTGACAAAGCATGCATACACCTGTCCACTTGTGAGTCCCCCAGAATGTTGCCAGACATAGCTCAATGTCACGGAGAGGAGTTAGAGTTCTACTTCAGAATTGGTGTAAAGTGGGTAGTTGATTTACACCAGTTTATGTTGCTGGATTCTTCCAGACTGTTTGCTGAGCTGCTCTAAAGGCAGGACATGTGTTTCTATTTCGAATCTGCCAGGGAACCACAATGGGGTGTTTAGCCAAGAATGACAGTTGTCGCTCTGTTACTGAGACTCCAAAAGGAAGAAAATAAGGAAAGAAAAAAATATGTCTTCATTTCAAGACAAACAAGAAATGCCAAATATGCAATTCAAAATAGGGAATAAATATATGTGAATGTAAAAGTCTTGAAATTTCTCACAGTGTTATTCTATATGTGAAATATGACTGAAAATAACCTTATCATGTTACCTCATAGCTATAGTTCCCAAAAGTATGTTTGGCTTTTCCACTTAAAGGGCTATTTTTGTTTGGTTTATTTGAGTCAGCACTTCTCTGTGTACTCCAGGTTGACTTCAAACTCATGATGCTCTTGCCTCAGCCTGCACAGGGCTGGGATTATAGATATGTGCCATCGTGTCTATCAAGGGAGCATTTTTAATTGAAAGTGTGTGGTAGTACAATTCTGTGACTCTAACAGAATGCCAAAGACTAGGTAAATTATAATCAATGCCTCTCCTAGGAAAACGGCTGCTCACATCTCTCTCTTGTAACAGCTAACCCATTCCCACCATCAGTTTTCATACATTCAGGAGGGCCTTGGACAATTCTAACATAAGCTGTGGGAGGGTCACAAATGAGAGAGTAGCATGCTCCACTTTCTGTGAGGGAAAGGAATAGCCTTTAAGCTGAGAACAGGGGAGAGTTCTAGAAGAAACAGGAGCATCTCTCAAAAATGGAAAGGCTATCAGCATGCTCCTCTCCCCCATAGTAGCTGAGCTGCACTCAGATAGCCTCATGGAGTTGATAACCAACATGAACAGAAAGAGAGCCAAGTTTCATCCCTTCCTAAACTCTCTTTAATTCCTAGTTCTTTGGGAAAGGACCAAATACAAACCTTTCCCAGCTAAAGATTCTAGCACAGCATGGCATTGTTTGGGTAAAAAAAAAAAAAAAAAAAAAAAAAAAAGGTTTGTTATGTCTGTGTCACTTCAACCCAGACTATGTCACAGGAAGCTGGACTTGGGGAAGTCACTAGGCTCAGATGTCCTCCTGTATGGTTGGATTAGTGCCATCATAAGAGGCCAGCAGGCTTGATATTCAACCTCTGCCATATGGGGAATCAGGAAGTAGAAGAAAAGATGGAGTCACCAGTCTGCCAGTCCTCTTAAGGAACTGGCTCTGGTGGTTCTTTGATGTCAGAGATAAAAGTCTATTGTTTTAAAACACAGCAGTCCATAATGTTTTATTGTAGCAGCCTGCATAGACTGATGCTTACAATGGACCAAATAGTTTCAAGAGCAGGAAGAAAGACCAAACAGGAGAGGTTCCTATGGCAATCACCTTTTACTATTCCTGATCATGTTTACAGAGTTTATAGCTTCAGGGTTACAGACACCCAAGCCTGAATCTTCCCACTATACAAAGATACAGTTCCCCCACCTGAGGAGACCTGACAATCTCTCATCTAGTTCAGGAAGGTATAAGTAGTATTATTCTGTATCTTTTAAGTCATGAATGGTAGTCAGCTTCCATAAGATCACCTTGCTTTGGAAAGTTTGTTCCATCAAAAGGTTAATTTTAAAAACTGTGTCAAGTCAAGCAATTCACTTTGTAAAAGATTTTTAACACTATAAAGAGCTTAACAGAAGATTCTTTTATTTTCTTTCTTTTTTTGTTTGTTTGTTTTGAGACAAGGTCTTACTGTGTAACCTTGGATGTCCTAGAACTCACTATGTACATCAGAGATCTACCTGCTTCTGTCTCCCAATTGCTGAGAATAAATTTATACAACACAATGTTCCAGCTAGAGGGTTCCTTTAATACAGGTCTTCATACCACATACCTGAAGTATAACCAACTCATGCATGGAAAGAGCACTGGGTAAAGGGAGTTCATATATGTGTGCATGTTTCAGGCATGGTATGTTATTGCTGTTATTTTGTTTGCTCTGGCATTGAGATTACTGGGAAGACAGACTCATCAACATCTAGAATTAGGAACACAAAGATGTGATAAAACAATGCAATCTGGGACCAGGTAGGACCTGTCTTTTCCAGGAACTTGAATACCTGTGAGTGACACACCTGTCCAAGGGGTGCTTAGTTCTGGAGTTTTCTGTTAACAAAGGGCACTGTTGTAACCTGTTACTTTCAGTAATATGAGACCTGAATACTCTGCTTTATGTCAGGATAATCTGGTCTGATTTCAATATAGATAAGCATATTTTCAGTGAGTAAAAGCCCTAACATTGTTTATGCAGATAGTAAAAGAAATGGGAACAAACCAGAAGGTTTAAAATTAAGACAACATATATCTCATAAATGTATTAGGCAAGCATCAAATATGTCATGCAGTAGAACATACAAATTAGGTAAAATGCATTGCATAGACTTCTACAAAGAACAGGCATTGAGTCATGTGATTGGCCTGACTGGTTTTTCATGGCAAAGTGTGATTGTGGCCTGGCTGCCTTACCTCCTATGGAGATGATAGCATCGAAGCCCTGGTCCCTAAAGGGGAGATTAAGGTTGTCACATACCATGACTTCACACCCTCTATTCCGGGCAATCTCTACCAGAGGCCCACAGTAGTCACAGCCCAGGGTATGTACTTGGCTATTCACTTTTAGATACTTTCCAGTTCCACAACCTGTAAGAGAAAAGCCTGTATTGCATGACTGTCTTTACTGGAAAATGCAAGATAATTTGTCCTATAACAGCTACAGAAAATTTCTATTAAATGACCAAGACAACACTTCAGCAAATACTTACATAATTTCATAGGGAAAAAAGAGGCAATATGCATGGAATATTTATTGAGGCAGTGCCCATGGGGCTCAACACATCAGCATACTCCAATCACACAAACTGGCCTGTCCCTGGGAAACACAAGCTCCAACATCAAGAAACTGAGGTCGACAGTGAGCAGTCGGTTTCCTTACCTTGATGTATGTACTTCACTTTGTGTGTACATGCTGTGTCAAATATCCACTCCAATGGGTCTTACTGATTTCTGAACTGTGTTAAACAAACTACTGCTAATGACTTTTCAACATCTAGAAGTAGTATGATATATACAATCAAATGTGGTTTTAAATATATGAATGCAATTGAAAAAGAAAGTAGCATCTTTTCACATGTTTTCAGGTTAATGCCAGGTACAGGAATTTCTGTTAGGTCAGTCCATAGTGCTAACAAAGAGTTTAAAAAGGAGACCATTTTGACATTCTTTTCCTAGTGGCAGAGGCTCAAGTACACAGTCAAAGACTGAGGCCAATCAAATCTTATAGTATGATATAGAGTAACATGAATGACAGATTATCTTAAAAACAATAACAACAAAACAAAACAAACAAACAAACAAAAAACTATCTCCTAGAACCTGCCATCAAGTTCTTTTATGAGAGTGGGTCTCACTGTATTGTTCAGGCTGAATTCCTGGGTTCAAATGAGTTTTCCCATTTCAGTCTTCCAAGAAGTTGGTATGCTAGGCACATGCCACTGCATCTGGCTGCTAGTATGACCTTCAGTCTGGAATTCATCCTCTAGGCCCTTGTCAGAGGCATTTGAAGCAATCAAGTGAGCTGATTTTGTATCCACTGGCATTTCTTACTTTGAGATTTTTCTGCAGCCCCAAAATATCAATATTCAATATTAAAATGTAAAGTTTCACTGCTTCTGAATAATGTCAGGGATAGTCTTTAATGACTCTTCCTTAATACATTGTTTTCAAGATGAGGAGACAAGAAAAACAAAGTGAGGGTTCCTTGATGTGACAGTGGAGGGGAAGGGAATAAAATAATAAGCCTTCCAATGCTATTATTTCAATATAAATGGCTGAGATTAGATTCTCATTTTAGATCAAACAGCCACAGTTCCTAATGCTTATGAATAAAAGTGGTTGTTATTTGAAGACAGACACAGGGAAAATATAAATCATATTACATTTCAAAGATGAAGTCCTGCCTGTGTTAAAAATGATGGCCCTATTTTAATAAATCTCTTGAAAATTCATTTCTTCCTTCATTGGCCTAAGATATGCATTTAGAGAAAAGAAAGGGAAAATCTCTTCAAAGATTCTGTTAGGAACATTTTCATAAACCATGACACATAGTGGACTATTCAGAAAACCATCGACAGCAAGGAGGCTCAGTCTTTTCTCTTAGTGCCTAGCACTCTGGTACTGTCCACTCTTTCCGCCCTCATTTCTGGTAGAATCGCTTTGATGATGCAATTGTTCATTTCTAAGTGCACACTCTGAGATGCTGGCAAGGAGAGTGTGTTCACATCGTGAGGAAGTCAGGTCCATCACCAAACCAGTCTTCCCATGATCTCGGATGTATCCTGAGTGTTCATGATACCATGGCAAACCCTAGTCCATACCAGTCATGCTCCCGGTGATGGGGAAAACCACAGAGACAGCTGCCCTAAGATAGTGAGAGATCATGGACTATGGACTGACAGCTAGGGAACCTGCATGGGACCCACTAGACCCATTGAATATGGGTGACATTAGGTGACTTGGTCTGTTGAGGAGAGGGCTCTGCCAGAGGCATCAGGACCTATCCCAGGTACATGAAATAGCTTTTTGGAGCCAATATCCTAGGATGGGATACCTTGATCAGCCTTGGTACAGAGGGAGGGGATTGATCCTGCCTCAACTTGGTATGCCAGACTTTGTTGACTCCCTAAGGAAGGCCTTACCACCTCTGAGGAGTGGAGATGGGGAGGTGTGGGTGAGAGAGGGGGAGGGAGGTGGAACTAGGATTGGTATGTAAAATAAAAAATAAATTTTTAAAAATAAAATCAAATGAACAATCCCTTGCAAAAGCTCATTAACGATACCCATGCCCAGGACTGAAGCGAGACTCCAGAGAGTGTCTGTGTATTCACTATCTTCTCAGTTTTGTACTCTGTGCCACAAAGTGTCTACAGAAGATAACAGCATGGCCCCAGCTCATCAAGACCTTTTAGGTCAAGATGGGTGAATATTTGATGAAAATAACAAAAATGAATATTTTTCTTAGGCTCGTTAGAAAAATACTGCTTGCTTTTTGTGCTTGGAATTGAACCCAGGTCCCCACATTTTCAGACTCATTTCTTGAGTCCAGAGTTGAGGAGCTCTGTCATTGGTCAAGCATAGTCTAGCCATATGGGGATGGTGTTCTTAACTTTTATTTAGCAAATGAAAGACAACCATTGAATCTGAGATTGCTGAGAGATAAAAGGCAAGAGGAATCTTAATTATCAAAGAATCTCTTTTGTACACAAAAATACCATTTTTAGTGCTATTAGGGCAGTTATTTCTGCAGTTAATTATGAGCAGAATCTTGCTGGTCTTTCTTTTACTTTATGAATGAATCTGGGTAATGTCTTCAATTCACACACGGCCCTCCATACTGCATGCAATAGACATACAATGGACCTGCCCATTCTGGGTACACTGCATAACCATGTGGGTTGGTTGTAGTGCTTCCAGGATGTCCTGTTGAAGCACTGACACTCTGATCATTTATGCTGTTCTCTATGTTTCCTTAATCTCTGCCCTGAATGGTATGGGAGCAGACACCTGTAATCTCAGCTGAGACAGGGAGTTGGCGGCTTCAGGCCATCTCGGCTATATAGAGACATTCTTTCACCACAACCCCTCTGCTGTATGTTGTAAACACGATTTGATGATGTTCTCTGCTGGATGTTGTAAACTGATTTGAAAATGTTTGGCTATCTACCTGCCTCTCCTGTCTAGCTATTGTACTTGTACTTTTGCTTGCTACAGACTTATTAAACTCACCCATTCAAGCCATGAGTACAGCTATCATAGATCACTTCTCCAGACCGTGTAAAACAGGGGATGTGAAAGCAGTTTTTCAGTCTTCTTCTATGTTGAGGAAACATGATCATCTTTCTTCCTGTGGGGTGTATGTGGGTGGTGGTGTGTGAGGGGGACCTAGAGGGTAGGGGAGACACACTTTCTATATCCCAACAACTTGATTTTAATTTTTATTAGGATATATCATACAAAGTGAAGGTTTTTCATTCAGACACACCATATACATTGCCCATATTATCCTAACAATTAGCTGAGAATTAGCTATTCCCAGGGGGCTAAATTGAACTAGAGGATGGGTCATAGCTTTCTAATTAAAAACTTTTGTTCAGATTTACAGAGATCATTTACTCAATGATCTACAGATAACAGCAGCCTATGGATCAGAAAAAAGCCGACCACCCTAAAATTATAGCTGTATGGCTTCATCAGCATTCCTGTAAAAGCCTCAGGCTGACAACCCCTAGCTAGGAGGCCTGGTTCTGGAGAAAGTGCCCATCTTTCAATTTTCTACCTTTTTACCAACGTAGTTCTTCCCTTCCTGACCAGCCTTCCCATTTATCAGCTAAATCCGGCACAGTAAAATAGAACTTTCCTTGTCAGAACAACATTATTTCTCCTTTAATTCAATATTAATTTAAAAACGTTCCCTGTATTTTCTAATCTAGCATTGTTGTTTACCGACTTCTTTAAATACATAAATCACATATTATTTAAAGAATCCAAATGTGCAAAAACGCCTTTACCACAGATATAGTTAGTGGTTTGTACAGGAGGATTCAGAGACTATCATTCATCCTATATTTATGGTATCAAAAAATACAGGGGAATTTTGTTTGTTAATGTGGTACCATTAGCCTGGATACTATATATTCAAAGTGGCATGCTTTAAAATATTTGAGAAGTAATTTACATATATGGGTTTAGTTCCAAGAACACTCAATGAAAGAAACCCTTCCAGCACATCCCTTCCTACCAGTTTGCTATGCAATCTTGAACTACTATGTGTGACTGTAAGAGCCTTGTGTCTCTGGGTATGTGAGTTGTTGGATTTCTCTTTCTTGATACACAGATGGTTGTACAGTACACAATCCAACATCTAGTCAAATATTTTAAAGCACACCTTGATTCTCCAACTTTATGCACTCGTTTGTTTATACCCTTTCACCATTTGTCTTGGAGCCTGCTGGTAGTTTTCTTTTTCATCTTTGGATTTATTTCTCTTGTCTAATGAAACCTGGGCATCCCTTAACCAACATATCACCACTTGCTTCATCCCCAGAATCCCCCCACATCCCTGTTCTACTTCTCTAAACTTCATTTTTGTGAATTCAACATTTTTAGGTCTCATATCCAATTGAGATCATAATGTAGCCTTTGTCTTGCTTTGTCTGACTCATTTCACTCAGCATATGGTCTTCTGTGCTCATGCATGCCACAAAGGACAGGATTTGGGACTTTATGCTAACTTTGAAAAGTGTGCCATAGAGTAAGAAAAATTTCTTTCTCCCATACTCTGGCTGTGGACAGGGTCACGGTGAGAGTCACATTAGCATATTCCTCCAGCATCCCAACAATTTGTTTTGAATTGTCACCTGCACAAAGTCACTGTACATGTGAATCACATCTCTCTCTCTCTCTTAAGGATTTATTTATTTATTATGTATACAGTGTTCTGCCTGCATGTTACCCTGCAGGTCAGAAGAGGGCACCAGATCTCATTACAGATGATTGGGAGCCGCCACGTAGTTGCTGGGAATTGAACTCAGGACCTCTGGAAGAACAGTGAGTACTCTTAACCTCTGAGCCACCTCTCCAGCCCTGTGAATTACATTTCTGTACATTTCTATTAGAAGTGTTGTGGATATATTACTTAGTTTGCTTTCTGATCTTTAGACTTTATATATTCAACTAGATTTTCTTAAAACCTTTTAAATTTTATGGGATCAAAGTTATTAGTACAGCCTTTGTACACTACTGATTCTGTATCCTCTGCTCTTCTATCTGCTAAACTTGATTCTTAGCCCTAAAGTCAGCCTTCATACCACTTGCATGGTCATCTAGGTATATACACTATATAGCAACAAAAATGTCTGAGTTATTGTAGTTTTCATATTATTGTCAGCAAAGAAAATCAAAGTGGAGTAATTGGTTCTGGACACTTAAAATGAGTTGTCAGGCCCTACTGAGCCATCCATGTATCAGGCTTATGACAGGCGAACTTTTGAACCGAAATCTCTGGTACCCACCCAGGTTCATGCTGACCCCCTGATCTGATGCCAACCACACTTTTCTGGGAGTAAACCTGCCAGCTTTGTAAACATTTATAAAAACCACACCTTCCTCTCTTCCGCTAAACTGCCCAGAAACAGAATGTGCCTAATTCTTTTCTTGCACACTGTTCCCGCATCAGTCACAAGTCATGGCAAACAGAGGTGTAATTGGCAACTTCCTCACAGTTTACTTTTTAAGTGTTTACTTTTTAAGATGTGCCCCTCCTCCCTTAAGCATTATTGTGTTCATAGGTAGTTCATGGATAGATATGGTGTCTGTGGGCAGAATATGTAAGACAATGCTTTGTTCAGGCATGAGTATAATGCATTGACTGAGGATTGGATGTTAACAAATCAGAAATATACAGTGAGCAAGACATCCTTACTGTGACTGGGTTACCTTACTCAGGATGGTTTCTTCTAGTTCCATCCATTTGCATGCGAATTTAAAGATTCCATTGCCCCTCACCCCCCACTGAGTAGTACTCAATTGTGTAAATGTACCACATTTTTTCTGTCAGTTCTTTGGTTGGGAGGTATCTAGGTTGCTTCCAGGTTCTGGATGTTACAAACAATGCTGCTATGTTGAATATCTGTCCTTGTTATATGAAAGTATATGCCCAAGAATGGAATTGCTAGATCCTGAGGTAGACTGCTTCCCATTGTCCTGAGAAACCGCCATACTGATCTCCAAAGTGGCAGTACAGCACAAGTGTGCACTCCCACCAGCAGTGGAGGAGTGTTCCCCTTTCTCCACATCCTCTCCAGCATGAGTCCTCATTGGTGTTTCTAATTTTAGCCATCCTGGCAGGAGCAAGATAGTATCTCAGAGTTGTTTTGATTTGCATTTCCCTGATGGCTAAGGATGTTGAGCACTTTCTTAAGTGTCTTTCAGCCATTTTAGATTCCTCCATTGATAATTCTCTATTTAGTTCTGTATCCCACTTTTTAATTGGATTTTTTGGTGTTTTGTTGACTAGTTTCTTGAGTTCTTTGTATATTTTGGAGATCAGCCCTCTGTCAGATGTGGGGTTGGTGAAGATCTTTTCCAATTCTGTGAGCTGCCACTTTGTCTTGTTGACTGTGTCCTTTGCCTTACAGAAGCCTCTCAGTTTTAGGAGGTCCCATTTATTAATTGTCAATCTCAGTGTCTGTGCTGCTGGAGTTACGTTCATGAAGTTGTCTCCTGTAGCAATTCATTCAAGGGTACCTTCCACTTTCTCTTCTAAGAGGTTCAGTGTGGGTTGGATTTATGTTGAGGTCTTTGATCCATTTGAACTTAAGTTTTATGAATGGTGATAGGTATGGATCTATCCGAAGTCTTCTAAAAGTCAGCATCCAATTATGCCAGCACCATTTGTTGAAAAAACTTTCTTTTTTCCATTGTATAATTTTAGCTTCTTTGTCAAAAATCAGGTGTTCGTAGGTGTGTGGCTTAATATCTGGATTTTCAATTCGATTCCATTGGTCTACCTGTCTATTTTAGTGCCAATACCAAGCTGTTTTCAGGACTATAGCTCTATAATGGGGCTTGAAGCCAGGGATAATGATGCCTCCAGAAGTTCTTTATTGTACAGGGTTGTTTTGGCTGTCCTGTAATTTTTGGTTTTCCATATAAAGTTGAGTATTCTTTCAAGGTCTGTGAAGAATTGTGCCAGTACTTTGATGGGGATTGCATTGAATGTGTAGATTGTTTTTTTTGCAAGATTGCCATTTTTACCACGTTGAATCTACCTGTCCAAGAGCATGGGAGATCTTTCCATTTTCTGGTATCTTCTTTAATTTCTGTCTTCAAGCATGGTATGTACTCACTCATATATGTATATTAGACATAGAACAAAGGATTGTCAGCCTACAATTCACACCTCCAGAGAAACTAGGAAACAAGGAGGACCCTAAGAGAGAAATGCATGGTCCCCTGAAGAAGGGGAAAGGGACAAGAGCCCATGAACAAATAAATTGGGAGCATGGGGGGGGGATAAGAAAAAGAAGGGGAGAAGAGAAGCAGGGAGGAAAACAAGAGGGACCAGGAAGACTGAATCAGGGTAGGAATAGTGGAGAGCAAGAAAAGAGTAACCATAATAGAGGGAGCCAGCATAGGTTTAAAGAGAAATCTGGCACTAGGGAAATGTACAGAGATCCACAAAGATGACCCCAACTAAGAATGTAGGCAGTAGTGGAGAGGCCACCTTTGATGCCCTCCCCAATAATGAGATTGATGACTACCTTATATAGCATAATAGAGCCTTCATCCAGTAGCTAATGGAAGAAGAAGCAGACACTCACAGCTAAAAACTGAGCCATACAGTGAGTTGGTGTTCAGTATGGCATGTACTTCTTCCCAGACGGAACTCCTCACACCCTTTGTCAATATATCCTCTGTCAAATGCTCTGTCCACACAGCAGTTTCTCCCATCAATGTTAAGGGTGCTGTCAACTTAGGCTAAGAATGAGTAACTACAGACTTAAGATTCTTTTGGGCACAGCAAGCTTGTGATTCCTGGAAAGCAGAGTTAGTGGGAAGTAGAAATCCAACCACACCTTAAATCTTAGTCTTAAACTAAGTTGTGGCTTACCACTTCTCAGTTCAGAGAGATGCTAAGCTGAGGTCCTTCAGGTAAATCAGTGATTATGGAAGCACTACCCAATTAAAGATAATGCCCTAACAATTTGATGCCTGCAAATAAGGGGAGGGACTTATCGGGGTGTAAGGGTGTAAGACTTCATTCATGATCTCGTGAGTCTGTCTCTTTCATAGACATAGATGGGACACCTCAAAATGAGGCAAGTATCCAAAACACACCTTACATATGTGAAAGTTTCTAAATTGAAAACAGCTAATGTCGCATCATTTCCATCCTTTTTTATTCCATCTGTGATGTTTGATTTTAATGGAGGATGTGCATAAAGGCCCAGAATAGATCATTGCTTTCTGGGAATATAGGTTGGGGATGTCTCCTGCTTGATGACTTGTGATGATAAGAATTTTTGCTATAAAGTAAATGTTCTAGAGACTAGCCTGCTGCTAACACAGCATCCCATTTCTTGTTAGAATGAAAATGAGATATGAATGACAAGGATAAGTGCAACTGGGTACACATCAGACCACACATAGCAAAACAAAAGTTTGGGTACCAATGTCAGCGATGAGGCTGCCAGGCTTCTGGTCCTGCAGGAACTGGCGGACTCTTGGCCAGGCTTTGCTCTGCAGGTCACTGAAGTAGGGGGCAGTGTTCTCATACACATCGTGCACATGCTGCTTCTCCAGCTGGACAGCTTCAGGATCCATCCTAGGTAAAGCAGGGCCAACAGAGGTAGGCAGATAAGAGACTAATGAAACCTTCACTGGAGCCTCAGGATCATCATCATAAAATTAGTAAGTGGCTAGTGTTCATCTGCTCACTTCCCCCTCTCAGAAACCAATGGTTTGGGGATAGTTTAATCATAGTTAAGTTTCTACACAGAATCAATTCTTCATTTTGGAAGCATGGCCAACATTAGTATGGAATGGTTTCATTTGAAAGAAGTCCTATGTAATGCTAGGTAGATTTTTCTTTTTTTAAATTTTGTAACAGTAAGCTACCACTCCAAACAAGAAGCCACATGAAGTTAGGGAGATGGCTCACTTGGTAGAGTATGAAGATGGAGATGCTCAGACCCTTGAGGGCTCCCTAGCCCATCAACCTAGCCTAACTAGCAAGTGGCAAGGATAGCATCTGAGGAATGACAACTGAGGACAATCTCTGGCCTACACACACACACACACACACACACACACACACACACACTGTGTGGGGACACTTCATGAATTCTACCCTTTTAATGTACTTGGATTCCAATAATTTTTCTGTGTATGCTGGTTCTTCTTGAATAAATATCTCTTGACCCAAGTTATTTCAACAGTCAGCCAACAGATTTCCTGGAACTTCATTTATTTATTTATTTAAAAAGCTTAAATCTACTTAGTTGAAATATTCACCCAGTCATGTTGTTTCCCAGCTTGGGCATCTTCAAAGGTCTTTGTAGTTGTCCAGTTATGTTCTTATGACTCAGGAGGCCTTGCAATGCCCTCTATGGTCTGACCTCAACTCATCTCTTCAGGTTCACTTCCCATTCCAGGTAAACAGGGGCCGGGTAGATCCTGAACTTTCCCTACCATAGGCCTCCCCTCCTCCAGGAAAGATAAGGGCTAGCATAAAGGACAAGAAAGGTACAAGAACAGCAGCTAGGTCCTTGCTACTGGGTACTTGTTCTTTTATTCTACTGTGGGTGAAATTGAGGATTACCCAATAGAAGTGGCTACGGGCTCAGAGAGTGGCTTTTACCATCAATATAAAATATTTTCAATACCTTAGAAGAGCATTTGGCCCTCTTCTGGGTACCTCTGAGATCTCTTGTGTGTACTGCATGTTGCACACAGCTCTGTAATAGTTTTTTTTGGACAGGCCTCCATCACTACCCAGAGGCCCCTAGGGGCAGAGGTTTGTCTCACTTAGTGCTGAGACACTTGGGACACAGAAGGCCCTGAACACTGAGCAAAGTCCATAAAAAGTAGCATTGGCTTTACTCGGGGAGGAACTGTTACCCTGGGGAATAAGGGGACCCAATGTCTATAGTCATACACATAGCAGTGTGACTAGAGAACATATTATCCCTGGGTATAATCTGGGCGCACTGCCACCTCCATGTTGAGGAGTCAGGAGCACTTGGCTATCTGCCATGTTACTTTTTTTGTAAAAAGTAGTGCCACTTTTGTATTTTAAAAGTAGCTTGTGGGTTGGAGAGATGCCTCAGTGGCTAAGGGCACTGGTTGCTCTTCCAGAAGACCCAGGTTCAATCCCCAGCACCCATATAACAGCTCACAACTGTCTGTAACTCCAGTTCCAGGAGACATAAAGTCCTCTTCTGGCTTCTTTGAGGACCAGACACACATACTGTGGACAGACATGCAAGCAGGCAAAACATACACTCACAAAACAAATAGACAGACAGATAGGTAGATAAATAGATAAATCAATAATAAATTTGAAGTCCCTGTAGGGCTAGTAAGATGGTTCAGTGGGTCATACACTTACTTACTGGGCAAGTTTGAGGCCCTGAGTTTGAATCCTAAGAAACCATGTGAAGTTGGGCATGGAAACAATTGTCTGTTGGTGGGGGGGCTCCTCTGGTGAGATGGGAGGTGAAGCCAGGAGAATCCATGGATGTTCCTGGGCTGGCCAACCAGCCTGAGCTACACAGTATCAAGACAAACAAGGTAAAAGGCAATGACTGATTCCCAGGCTACCTTCTGACTTCCACATGTGTGCTGCGGTACTCACATGTCTTCACTCTCACATACATGCATCCATGCACATGTAAGATATCTTGGGAGGGAATTTTGAATTATATGAGTTTTCTGCTTCTCATATGCTTACCCAGCAGTCTCAGTACCCACTACTAGTTCTCTTCCTTGAAACAATAATCCCCCTAATTATCATCAAATGAACACATCATCTCTGAGGCAGCCTTGGTCTCCGGTGATCTGCTCGGGGTCCCGAGGAAGGTCCAAACAAATTTGTGCCACAGGATAAACAATTTGTGAGGCCTAATGAACTTTTCCCCAAGCTGATTCAGCTTCTATAACACTCTCAATTGGGGCTTACAAAGTATTTATACTGTGTAGTGGGATATTCACTTTGTTTCCTTCTGTGGCACTGACCACACCCATTGGGGGGTGGAGCCAGGGGTGGAGGTGACCTGGGGAACTAAGTCAGAGAGTGCTCTCTTGCAGGCTGCACTGGACAAGAGGACTTCCGAAGGAATTCTTGGAAGCAGGAACCTGTTGGTGTTCACCTGTCTATGTTGTGAGTTATTTCTCCCTGAATAAACATCTGTTCGGCCTAATTGTTTATCCTGATCCTTATTAAACCCAAATATCTGGCGAGATAAACATTGCTACAAAGTTCCTCATGGAAGAGTCTGCCAGACAGTCTGCAGGACACAGAAAAAAGTGACTGTCAAACTGCCAATACAAGAAGGCAGTTTAAAGTTTCCTGCTTTGCTTAAGAGTCTGTCAGACACACTATGGCCTATGGGCTGAAGATGGAAGATTACAAAAGAACTTCAGGTGACTGACCTTGCAGAGAGATGTCTCTGTCATTTCTAGAGTTTATATATTATCCTTCTGTGGTCTTTGATGGAGTTGAAGACAGATAGTTATGGCTATAGTTTTCCTTATTAGGATTAAAGTTAAGTTACTTAGACTTTAGACACACAAAGATAGAATAGATCATGGAATATTTTCTTCAAATCTTGCTAAATGTTGATGGACTAAATATTGTTAACTGTGATTCTTATTTGATAATTGTTGTGTGATATATTTTGCTATGTTAAAGTTAAAACCCTTCTTTTTATTTAGACAGAAAAAAGGAGATGATGGGAGATGTCATTCTGTATATATGTTTCTCATACTGGTTATGAATAAAGCACTGTTGGCCAATAGGAAAGGAAGATAGGAGGGACTAGGAGACAAGGAGGAAAGAGGAAGTAGTAAGGAGGAGCCAACATGGAGAGACGGGAGAGAACAGAACTGCCGGCCCCCGCTCTCTGGTAAGACCATGTGGAAATACATAGAAATGGGTTAATAATTAAGACAGAGCTAGCCAATAAGAAACTAGTACCTGGCCAACAGCATTATATCAAATACATAGTCTCTGTGTGTTATTTGGGGCTGGCATGGTGGCGGGACAAGACCAGTGACGGGCGGTAAAACCTACTCCTTACAATACTGGCTTTAGCCCTCTGCTGTAGGAAGCCTTGAATGAGTAGAGATCTTAGTGCATGTGTATAGCTTGACATGGTTGTATGCAGAAGATATCTACTACAACTTCCTCCCCATGGATATTTATAGCCTGAAGATTGCTTCTACAAAGACTTCTACAGAGGTCAGCTAAGCCTGGCTCCTCCACAAACACTTGGTAATCTGTATGCAATAGTCCCACTTCTTTGTTCAGCTGTATATAGTAGCCCTGCCTCCATGGTGAACCCCATACAGTAAACATACTGAGCTTCCAGGATGCTGTGGTGTCTCCAGCCAAGAGCCCAGGCCACCTGACTCCAGTTATTTCTGTCTGTGTGTCTGTGCACATTTTCATTATTCCCTTACCACCCAACTCAGGTCCATCTCTGCAGCTGTACAAGGACTCAGTTCTCCACACAGGAGAATCCTCAAAATACTTCATAATTTTCTTCTGATAATTCATTTTCTTTGTTGTTATGTGCATGTGTATTATGTATATTACGTGCATGTTTATGTATGCGTGTTTGTGTATGTGAATACACAGGTATAGAAGCCAAAGATTGACTTGGGGTGTCTTATCTGATAGCTCTCCATCTTATATATTGGGGCAGGATCTCTCACTAAACCGAGAGCTTGCTGACCTGGCTAGTCTAGCTAGCTAGCTTGCTCCGGGGATCCCTCATCTCCAGCTCCCAAGCACTGGGTTACAGGCATATTCGCTTGCATGCACACTGGCATATATGGTGCCTAGGGCTTGAACTCTTGCTCTTAAGCTTGCCTATGCAGCATGCACTTTACCCATCAAGCCATCTCCCCACCCCCTACTTTTCTTTTAAGTCAGAATCCCCATCTCAGCAATTGTTGTATTTGAACACCACACCCCTTCTGGGGAATCAATCAGGCCATTTATTTTGGAGAACCTTAGAAAAAATGGTCTGACAACTACAATAAGGCAAAATGTAAGTGGCAAAAGACATAGACTGGATCCCTCCCAGTGTGCATTCTCAAAACTAGCTCCAAAATCAACATGAGAACATGGCCAACAGAATCAACTAAGCAGGGCTCAGAAAATGAATCAACAATCAGGAACCCTGACCTCTGTGTACACATTATGGTTATTATGTTCATGTTCTTGTAGGGGTCAGGGTGTTTTTTACTCTTGTCTGTGCTTGGGACCCCTTTCTTCTTACTAGGTTGTCTCATCCAGCCTTGATATAAGGGTTGTACCTAGTCTTATTGTACCTTGTTATGTCATGTTTGGTTGATTTCCATGAGAGGACTGTGCTTCTCTCTCTCTCTCTCTCTCTCTCTCTCTCTCTCTCTCTCTCTCTCTCTATGTCTCAGAGAAATGGAGGAGGAATGGAGGGAGGGATATTGTAGTTGGGGTATAATGTATGAGAGAAATTTTTTAAAATTTAAATGGTGAAAGACAAAATACCAAAGTAAACAACAACAAGTTCCAATTTAAGTGCAGATTATCTAGTATCCAATTCAAGTGCAGTTTGTTT